GATTTGTTTTGGAACATTAACTGTATTTTTGCAATTATGTTTTCTAGCTGCAACATTGAGACGTATAGACCAGATTCCACCGAACTCACCAATTAACTTACCACGAGTGGGTTGATAAAATGCGAGACAAGATATTAACCAATGATTGTTTCGGTAATTCTTGTATGTTTAATCAACAATTAAAATATTTTGAGACAAAGGATGATGGTTCGTTATATGAGACGGACCGAACCTTTCGTTGGCTAAATATTTTGGTGATCGTTCGATTCGTGGTATGGATTAATGGGTTTGACTGTGCCTTTGTATAAGAGGGGAGGTAGGTCGTTAAACTGTTCGTAGTTTGACTTCATCGACTGATTTTATATTTATGTGGATCTTTGAGAGTTTTGGATTCAATTCTGGAGCCGTTTAGGATTGTGAATGATAAAGTGAATGGTGGCCGTGGACTTCGGATTGTTTTCGACTGTGGCGATTGCGAGAAAAAGATTTCAGCTAGCGTTCGTTCACGTATCAATCGTTTATCAAACGGTTGCTGGTATCGCACCACTACAGTAGATATTGCAACAAATTTCTTTCGTTATCCATGATGAGGTTAATTCATTGACATTGGATAGGAGGGCGCAGTTCAGTATTGTTGATTGTACACATTTATTTATGTGTTCTTCAAAAAAACTATTGAAGAAAAACTTTATTAATTATTTCAGATATTATGCATAAGTACTGTTCTTGTTAATTAGAGACAGTCATTTGAAGAAGCGATTTTTCAAATTAACTTAACTGAATGATAAGCACATTAGTAGTGATATAAACATCATCATTACCAATGATGATAGCTTTAGCAAATACAATTTTATAATAATACATGATCATTTTAGTGAAAAAGCATTTCTAATGATGTGAATAGATAATAATAGAATAATGATTAATAGTTTAAAGGTACGAAATACTGCACTGTAATTAGAAATGGAAAGGAAGTATTAAAAGATATATGTAGAACTAGTATGAAGCATAATTATGAAAATATACATATTGACGGCGTTTTTTGAATGGTATTGATAAAGCTGGGGGGGGGGGGGGGGGGGCACAGTGGTTCATTGGGAAATGTGTGGCCATGTGACCGAGCGATCTACCGGATACGCTGAAAGAAGAAGAAGGAGAACGCTGAAGTACCGGGATAAATAGTTGGTCGGATCAGGGATAATCAGACGGAAAGGTAAATTGAGTGAATCGAATTCTTGGGTGATTACTCGTCTGCTCCTCCAAATTTTGGACCGAATTATTATTTGACTGTTTAGCTTTTTCGTTGTGTATCACTGAAGTGTTGTTGTTTGTTGAATCGCGATGCTGATGAATTATGCGATGATTTTGTCGAGGTGCTACGACGTTCTCGTTGGTTCACATTTTTGTTCGTATCACTCTTATTTTTGTCCGTAGTGTTCTTATTATTATTGGTGTTATTATAATTAATGTTTTTTGTTGGTGTTGTAGTGATATTAGCAATGGTTGTTGTACGTCGTATCATCGTCTTATGACTTATGCTGCTATCTGGAGTGGATGGGCCCGAGCCAGAACCAATCCCCTGGCCCAGTAGCAGATTATCTCGACTTGCCGTTCGCTCACGATCCCAGTACTGTTTCAGTTGTCTTCGAAGAACCTTACCGCACACACTACGTGGAATATCCGACACAAAGAAGACCCCGCCACGAAGCTCTTTGAATTGAGCGATCTTACCTGTAGACAATTATGAATATGATTGCAGTTTCAACTAGATTTGTCCTCTTAGCCGCTTTTACTGAGAGTGGGAGAGGAAGGGGAATACCGACAAAAACTATGATTACTTGCAAATGTGCCTGAAAATGAGGTAGTTATATACTTACCTGCAACATGTTGCCTTACTTCGGCTGATGATAACAGTTGATATTGTGCATTCTTGACGACAAAAGCGGCCGGTACCTCACCAGAAACGTGATCCTGTCGACCAACCACAGCACAGTCATCGATTCCCGGATGACTTCGGAGTATACTTTCAACTTCAGATGGGCATACCTCAATCAAACGTTTCGAATTGATTCAGCTTGATGTGAAATAAAGAAGAAGACCCCGCCACTTCAAAAAAAATGTAGAAAGAACTGTAAACGTGAAATAAATTGATATTATTGTTAACAAATTGATAAACGTTATTGTCAATTTTTATTAAATGAATGAAGTATTTGTACAGGTAATGATCAGTTCTCTTGAATGTTTTAGATATTATATTTAAATGGTATGATATAACATTGGCTCTAATATTGGAATCGTATTGTCGCGGAAAGCTGTTAAATTAGTTTTCCGACTAGTGAAATTTTGATTCCATTTCATTTCAAATGAATCAGTTGTATTTATCATCGTCGCCGTTATTATTTGTTGTGGTTATATCTGGAGAGCAAGCAGCCATTCTGCTGTCTATTTTTTGGTCGGGGCTTCAAGCCAAATGAATGGTTCGAACGAATTTCAAAAAATTTCATCGCACATGTGAAGCAAAGCGCAAACGAACATCTTGAATCGAGTGAAACAATCAATGGGTACTTTTGTGATTGATAGATTGGGTCAGCTTTCATTTTCAATTTATGCATTAATTTACCTATCGTTCACGACACTTTTATAATGTCTGCTTTTATTCATATCGTTTTTTGAAAATGCAGACAGATGTTGCGTTTTTTTTTTTCGTGTTTTCATAGTTATTGACACTGATTTATCATGCACTTTCTTTATCTCGTTCTTCATTATAATGATGAACAACAGGGTGATGCTGGTGGTAGTATAATGAGGTGAACTAACTAGGATTGTTTTGTACTTGATAAGATCTTTGAGTCGGTCCAAAATATAAATATAGCCATCTTCGTCGTAGTAGGCTGCATCACCTGAAACGAATTATGATGCCAGACGCGCTGCAATTTCCGGCTCCTGGCTGTTGATGTCGCCAAAAACTATGTTATTTGAAATATCATCGTTATAATTACTGAACTGATTCAATATCAATATGATTCGATCAAACACCTTTACCACTAGCATCCTCATTATTTCGTTATTATTATTATTATTATTATTATTATTATTATTATTATTATTATCACCTCAGTTATTATGAATGCTGGTTTTATTATCATTATCATAGTCGTTGGTTGCGTCGTACTTTGATCATATGATCATAAATGATCATTTTAGTTTATTACTTGTTTGATAAATTATAGTTATTTGCACTGGAATCGATCAAAGCAGAGAAAATGTCGAATATGTCTGCAAACCAACCGGATTTAAGATATCCCAAAGAATCAACGATTTCATTGTTAGCTTTCGGGTTCTTATAGAATGTCGGAAGTACTTGTGGTCCCATCACGAATAACTGACCGAGTTGATTTGGTTGACATAGCTCCTTGGTTTCATAATTAACAACCTGGAAGAATTGAAAATCATGGGTAGGTATTTTGATGCGCTACTCTCACTCTCCATTTTGGTATTCTTCAAACTTTATTATTCTGTCTACTCTAATCTTTGCTTTCTCATCATCAGTGAAGAGAATAATATGGTGCCATAAATTTACCGAGGAGAGCAAACAAACCTTTACCAACATTCCCGGCAAAGGTATACCAACACTTGCTAATTTATTGCAACCAAAGTGTGACAATGTGCATAAGCCGCCCATTTCCGTCATGCCATATGCTGAAATTATTATTTAAAAGCATATCCAGTCAAAGTGAAGTGCATTCGTTAAATTAATTCACATGTTATCTATCTGAAGGTGTATCTCTATGTTATTGAAGTTTAACGCCTGCAACCGATGCTTGAGAAGTTGAAGGAAGGACTGAGGAATGTTGCTACGTATTTACGCTACTGTTTCAACCATATTTAACAGTCAATTGATTTTGAGAATTCTAAGGGAAAAACTCTTTGGAAACATCAATTATGGAGGTTGAATTGCTCCTTGAAGACTCATAGCTGCACGCTTGTGCTACTACAAATCATGGTTTACGGTAGCGCGCGCTCTCTTCTTTCTCTTCGTATGCCTATCTCTCTCTTTGTTTGATGTTACTCTGACTAAATTATTATTACTGTATCAATTTATATCAATGAGATGCGCAAATATTTAGTACTACTTACTGATTATTACTATTACTACTATTACTAAATTATCATTATTACCATTTATATTTACTGATTTGCTCAATGAGCGATTACGGCAATGAGTATCAGCAAAGTAAAAACCTTGTCTCAAATCTTCAATTTGAAGTCTCTCTTTACAAGTCGCAAGCGTGTTGGCATCCATTGGTGCACCAGCCACAATAATTGTTCGCAACGAACTCAAGTTGCGTCCATCGACCAACCGATCAAAAGCTAACATTTGAACCATTGGTGGCGTCACATGCACTAGATTGATCTGAAATACCATCAGTTATTTGTTATCATACTACATCGATGCTTATAGCACCATCTGCTATATATTCGCACCGTATTTAGCACTGTCCATCCATCGCTTCAGCTAAATTGCTGCTGAGCGTCATAAAACTCACTTAAATCGTCAGTCGCTCGTTCTGCCTATCCGATCTGATCGAGGTTCGAAAATATTCTCCTCACTCTAATTTTTGTTATTATAACATCCTTATTGATACATACAACCATACCTTTTGCTATATATTCCATGCTGTAATTAAAATGAAGCAAAGAATACTTAAAACTTTCATTCACTCACTTTATGCTGTTCAATTGAATCGAGAAAATTTTTTGCCGTATATCTGCTTAAGAAATATAGTGTTGCGCCATTAGCAAGTGCATAATATGCTGAGAGTGAACCGAAGATGTGATGTAGCGATAGTACTGAAATGATATTAGTCCGAATATGTGAATATTCATATATTGTATACTTGCATCATATTTTTGCCTAATGATTAATTGAGAACATGTAAGATTCAATCGAAATTTTGAGAAGTTGATTCAAATTCTATTTGAATTCTATTTGAACTATCCAAGCTTGGCAACATTCATCCACAATTTGATGTAATTAGCTGTTCTTGAAACAGCACTATTCGGCATAATTGCAGTTGTTATAATTAAATGGAAACAATTAGCTTGAGCAAATGATTGATAGAGTTGACCGTTGACAGATATGATAGATGAAGAAAAGGGGAAGAAGATTCAGTTGAGGTTCAGGTTTGAGTGATAAGTCAGCCATAAGAGGAGTAATGGATAATCACACGGGCAAACGGTAACTGGTACGTTCACCCATCCGTGGGTTTCAAAGAAACTGTTCGTCACCAATAACGTAAGCAATAGTGCGTTTCCAGTCCAACCGTATGAGGAACAATTAACTTCGTCTAGATATGAGGTGGATAATAATAAAAATAATTTGAAGGGCACGTACCCAAAAGAAATCGTTCCTTCGCAGTTGGTGGACCATAAATGGGACAACTGATTTGTTGTATATTAATAATGAATGATAGATTGGATATTTCAACAGCTTTATTAAGACCAGTTGTACCTGATGAGAAAAATAAAAATATCGTTTGTTTGGATAATGGTGTTGATGATAAAGATGGTGATAGAAAATTGGTGGACGTTTTTGATAAGTTGGTTACGGCTGGACGAGACTGATTGTCGTTTGCTGACTGATCACTATCCTCTTCATTGCGAGTGGTGTTATCCTTCAATTTATATGTGAAAATAGCAATTGATGACAATATGCTGCTTTTTAATATAACCTATGAAACTTACAACCCCAATGTATAACTTATGAATATGGTAGTTACACACAGTGATAATATAATTGTAGCAAGTAGTGTGACGGTGATGTATCTTAATCAGTCATGATAATAGGAATGATTCAACAATATCGAAAACAAGCCTATTATCATAGTATATTTAACAACGTTGGTGTATAGCATTCAATCGTATTCGGTTCATCTCCTATGGTAATTCCAAATAAGCCTTATCATATCACGCTACATAGCCTATTTCATTGATTGATAACAAATATAATGATAATAGTAAATAATAGGGACAAACGACAACTGGTGATTCAGGTGTAGAATATTGTTGTTGTTGATTTTCGAAAGTAGGTGATGAATCGATAAGTGTAGATTGTTGAGGGGAAATGGTACTAGTAGTATTAATATTTGTGGCGCCAGTTGAAATGGTTGACAGATTGACTGAAATGGTACTGTTTGCGAGTTGTTGTTGCATTGCCGACGGTCTGCTGCAATCACATTTCAATATATCAAATACAATCGGAGGGTACCATTGATAACAATAATAAGTCAGTTGTGTAAGTAAAGTGAACGTACAGTTTTGTGATTGATGTGAATCCTTCTTTTCTTAGCTTTACATCGCTCAAAATATCCTCCAGTAATGCAACTACCTAAAAGGAAGCATTCTACAAAATGCACAATAACGAAGATGTGAATGAATAATAGTGCTAATAGGAATAAAGCAGTACTGATAACGATAACGATACTATGAAAGATTATCGAATGAAACACGTTATCATTCACCTTAATTCGACTTCCACCACGCATGATTGCTTTTCGTTTAACTTCCTCAACTTTGGTTAAGAACTGTGGTTCAGTTATGGCATGCGTTGATTCACTTAGGTCAACTTGCTGCCAAATATCATCTGGAAAGAGAAGAGTAATATTTTTCCGGCTGGGAGAGAAGTGATATCAATTCTGTGGTTGATGAGAGCAGTTGGACGATTAATCACGTAATTTTAATGATAAATGAACTTCAGTGATAAATTCAATGATAAACTTCGGCCGCGTGATTGATAACAGATTTTTCACTGTGAATGCGACTCATTTTGGCTAAAACAATGGTTCTTTCTGGCCAATTCAGCCTCATTTCACACAGAAATGAAAAGAAAGATACTGCGGTCATTATCGAATATTTGTTCCTATCACCAAAATCGTCCTCTCCTCTCTCCCAGAGAAGTATGATGTGATGGTTCGAAAGGTGAAGAGGCTATTTAATCATATCATATTATTTCTGGTGCATCGATAGGCATTGAAATTTTTTTAACAAGCGATTCGAATCAGTTTCAAAATTACCGACTGTCAAAAATCCATTAATCGAAACGGCCACCGAGCCAATGGACGAGCATGCCATCTGTGCAAATACAGCTTGGCCTATCAATATTATTATCATTATTATTTTCATTTATTGTTGTTACTATTGATACCATAATGTTGATCCTCGCTAGTGATAATATGTTATCTTTTTGAAATTGTTATCATTAATATTATTATGAACACCTGTTGTACATGTGATTAGTGCTATGCGTGAATTTGCAGTGATACCAAGTTCACGCATTCTTTCTACGCACTTTTCCGTCCATGAGCGCATCTCCGAATATCGCCATTGTTTACCACTTTCAATATCAACCTTTCGGTAAAAAGTGGAACAATTATTATTTATATAACTTCGATTATATTGGTATCAATTTTATTCATTACTGATGAAAATTTTGGATGTGAGCAATAATGAATGGTTGATAAGGATAATTTTGAGCGTGAGTCTAATTATGAGAATATTGAAATTGAATTATAAGTATTATGGAGAGGTATGAAATGACTGGGTGATCAGGCAGTGAAAAAATTTGACAGCGACGAACATACCATAGCCAAATTAGTACCATATTGAGAGAATCTAGCGAGAAGAAAATCAGTGAAATTTGTTGATGTTAACTTTTGCCAGACAATTTGAAATGGATTCTGAATTTCCATTATTTATTTGTTGGTTGTTGCTCGATTAGCTTGAATGGTATTTCGTGAAGGAGAAGGATGTCTTGTTGCCCAAGGAAAGGTAAGGAGAGAATCAGGTAGGGAATAAGTAAAATTGAGCAACTGTATTGGCTAGGTTGGTCGTTGAATGAGTGTGCTGCTTGGTAGATGGGCGACCACCGCAATGCAGGGCTTGGCTGAGCACATCAATTGCTTAGTTGGGTCTGAAACTGCTTTTGATAACAATGAATAAACAAGAAGTTGAAAAGTGACAACACAAAGTTGATTGCATATGGGATGGATATGGAATAGCATGAGAGATGTGCATGTATACTGGGGATGGGTTTGTATAGTGATATGGGTGGATAAGATGGATTGATTCGTGGATATGTTGATGGCGGTAAATTGATAGGCGTATAGATTGGTAGGTATATATTCTTGGTAGAAAGCAGCCGAGATGGTTGAGAAGAATAAGAATAAAACATTCAAAAAAGTTCAGAAATTAAGGTTTGTTGTTGAATTTTAGACGTTATTGCAAGGCTGCAACAGGACAGTGAAGGAATTGCATTATCAGCATCCTAAGTTGCAGTTAACAATTCATTGGATACGGATGAGATGATACCAAGACAACGCGATGATACATATCACATACACTATGATGCAATAATGATATTGTTATTTATTGATCACTGTATAGATTTGACAAACTGACTGGTTGGCTCTTATACCGTACTGAACGTCCACTTGTTGCATTTGGCTCAATTTCTTGATATAACTCGTCGTACAATTAGTTAGATTTCTCTTATTCATAAGCCTGAGGTTCTTAATGTTTTCGTTTAGTCTTTGTCCCGTACTCTGCCAGATACATAGATAACGCAGTTGTATATCGATCTATCTAACATTAAGGATAACATCAGATAACGACAGTCATGAATATCCAATACAAAAAAAAACTTATTAAGAAGAATGTGATGCCATAAAGTTGTGCAATTGATAAATGAATAAATAAATGAATAATAAATATGTGAGAATGTGTTAATGAATATTTTAGAGAATACAACTTACTAATAGGTCTATTTTCGACTAATACTAACTGAAATTCTATGGCTCATTTGTAATGCATTGTATTCGATACTGAGTATTGTTCGTGGTTCACCATTATCAAATGAAATAATTTCACGAGATATGTACCGTTTCGTTTTTAAGTAAGAGAAGAAATTTATATGTAGATAAGTTTCATGATCTCGTTTCGATTGCCATCCCTATACGAAAGTATTAATTCCATTGATCAGGTAATATCACTGGTACGAAAGAATAATAATTGTGTTAATTATATATTCATATTCATGAGGATGGTGTGAACATGTGTTTGTATATACTATTTATTATTATTATTATTGTAATTATTATTTTTAATATTTTTATTATTAACCACTGTTATTGTTATAACTGTTAGTTTTGTTGATTAGGTTATTGTTAATGAGTATTACGTTTACTTTGGTGCTCATCTGTTGACAACGTTATCATTTGTTTAGCCAACAGATAAGTGAAAGGTAAAGTCCTTTACATTCGAGCCGACAGATCCAACCAAAATTTCTCATGGATGCAGACAACGAAAAAAGTATGGTATGAGATAAATCAGTTATTTCGATTATTCTCTTGCGATGCTTATTCACTAAATAATATAAGTGGGCACATCATTCGACATGTTACGGTACATTCATAATGGTGAGGGCAATAATGATAGTAAGAGTAGCAATACTTAATGATGGCATCCAAGCGAACTTTCATGATGATGATAATGATAATGATAATAATAATAATAATAATGATAATAACAATAATGATAATAATAATAATAATAATAATAATAATAATAAATAATAAAAACAATGATAATTATAATTATAATTATAATGGAAATAGTAATAATAACAATAATAATCTATCACTAATTCGTTATGAAAATGTATCGCTAACATTAGTAATATTAACGGTCATAATAATAATGATAGCAATAACAATAAATTATGAGTTTAATGGAACTGCAACATATGAAGATGTAAAATAATTCAGGAAGTGCCAAACAAGAAGAAGAGGTGAATGAAGCGAAGCGAGTGATGGAAATAGGGCAGCGGTTAGCGATGCTATGGGTGGTCACTCATTGTCGTTGTGTTCTACGATCTTGGAAGTCTGAAACACATTTGAATTGTTTCAAAATTGATTCATGGATTGCCGATGAAATTTGTGATATTGCTTCTAGGTGTGTCATCATTATTATCATTCATCGAATAATGTTCTGCTAAGATACTGAAGCCATCAGTGGGATTAGGCATTTACCAATCTGTGGTGGTGGTCGATAAAGTAGGCTTCGGATCAGCGATCGTTAAGCTCAGACCTCATTCGTTTTTGGCTTAAGATTATTTAGAGCTTCTGCAGGAAGACGTTCTAAAATAATCCTAATTCGCAGTGATGAAACTGAAGTTGAGAATTGAGTTTGAAATTGAATAGAAAGGACACTTTGATGGATAACCGTCACCATCATTTAAATTGCAGTTTGCGCCGTTGTCGGAAGAAACTGACGAATGCTTCGAATATGACTGATGAAAAAAGCTTGGATTCATCACCAAATTATGCGGAAAGTTTGGATAGTATGGTAGCGGACTAGAAGGCTACAGGAACGATGCGCAGTTGTTGATATGATATCGGCTATCGCTAACTTCAATTGTCATATGATACCTGCAAGCAATCACATTGTCTGCTTTAGACTTTATATCGCTTGCTGTTGTGAGCCTCGATGACAAAGAAGCTTTCTGTTCAGATTTGGTGAATTTTGAGTGAATTTCTCTCCTTCAGTCGAAACGAACACATCAAAACTTGTTTTTATCAAGTGGGTTATTAGAAGTTTGTAAAATTTTCTCATATGATACATATTATCTGAGCTTGAAAAAATTTTCATTCCTTAATTTTATTTGATTCATTCCAATCATTTATTAGTTACGTGCATTATGTGTGTACGACGTACATATGTATGTTTAATGTTCAATTTTCATTTATTCATCAGTTTTATTCACTGTTGATTTGATGGATTTTTTTGTCTTTCTATTAGAATGTCATTTATTAATTTAACTGAAAATTAGTTGTTAAGAGGTTTAAAAAATTAAGGTAATCAATAATAATCAAGATTACTAAAAATGAGAGTGGAGAATAAGTTGAATGAATAAATTAACAAATGACATTCCATTGATAAATAGCATTCACCTTTATCTTAATTCACTTTTATAATATCCGTAAGCGAATCTCGTTGCTGTAATAATATTGACAACGATAACAGTAACGATGATTAATACACAATATTATGAAAGATGCATAAAAGATAATGCAGGCGTGTTGATTACATGGAGTTCCCATCATACATACTCTTTGAAATAAATATCATGCATCCTCAAAATGATGATAGCGAAATGTGTTCGTGAAATCTGAGTTGATTCATTTTACTGTTCATATCTGCTACTATTGAGTCGTGGCTGGCTACTTAAGGTAATCGAAAGCTGAACTGACAATGAGATGAGTAAATAAGATCATTAGGTAACTGAATAGGCTTAGCTAGAAAATATATTTAGCATTTCTGGGATAAAATGATCATTATTGCTCGGCTGAATTCTTGTGTTTTCTTAGAAAGAACAAGAAGAAAAGTTTGTTTCGTTTCATTTGATGAAGAAGAAGAGGAAAGTTGGTTGAGAATGAGCTGAAAAGAACCGGTCCTATTGAATAGATAAAAGAGAGACATGAGGGGGGATATGAGGTGGTAGGAATGGAATGAGATTTGATTATTTCATATGCTTGAATTCTGATTTGATTCAACATGAACGAAGACGTTGGAGAGCGAAACGGCGTTAATTGTGAACGTTCTTCGTTTCATGATGATTCATTAGTCATCAATTGGTGAACTGATATCATCATATAACATTGCTGGACAGCAATACGAACGATATTAAACCAATATCTAATGGGTTGGATACTTATGAGGAGGGGAGGAGAGGAAAAGGAAATGCAAGCAGGATATGGGACAAGGGTTATGATGATTTCTGGAACGCGTCAGACGTGAATTCTTTCAGTGGTGATGATTTAAATCATCTCGTTGGTAACCACTGATAATAATAATATTCCTGAGAATACTGATAATGACAAGGTAAGAATGATGATTGTTATTATTACTGCAAAAATGATATTAATCCTGAACGATGAATTTCATCTGATTTTATTTGAAAGAAATAATGTCAACTCGTAATCCTGTTTATGATTTCACGCATACTGAAAGATGTAGATATGAGGACATGGAACACTCATTGATTATTGATTGTTATTTGTTAACGAGTGATTGACTGATCAGTTGAATTGATTAATACAAATTATCTTTTCATATCATATATTCTTGTCTATTGTGCACCACTCATTCCACTGTTGATAATTATATTATTCTTTTTATCAATGCTCATTACTTTTATTATTATTGTCATTATTATTATTATTATTATTATTATTATTATTATTATTATTATTATTATTATTATTAT